GAACATGACATTTAACTCAAAGTAGGATTGCAAGAGGTAGATAATACTAACTGTAAAACACAGGTGAGCTGTGTTTCACACAGGTGAACAATTTTGCAAAATCTGCAAAAAATTCTTTACTTATTTATTTATTCTAGTGTTTGTGTCAATCACCAGGATCATCTAAATAATTCGACTCCAATAGTAGAGTTCATTTAAATCAACAAACTCAATACTCTCACCCAAACTTTGTCTTCATGTAATGGATATTAAGGATTTTTTTTCTCCTGCAGAACTGCTTCAGGAAAGAACTAAAGCACATATATAAGTCCCAGTGACTTGCCCAAGATGTGAACATAGAACATTTCACTAACACTTATATGGAAAAGGACAAACACCTGAGCAACATGCAGAACTGGCTCTGAAGCCAATAGCTGCAAGGCCAACTTTATTCAGGGCTTACAGAGAGCTTATCAGATCAGGTGTAGAGCTACAATAATGCAGTTATATGGTTTTTGGAAGCAGCCTAGCATCTGTTCTTGCTATACACTGAATTTTAAAAACAGTAGCCACATATAAAAATTTAGCAAAACTTGAATGCATGATTAAAGTTAAACATCCACATGGTGTAGCTGGTCAACTATGTCCAGAAAGGATCTTCAAAGCTTACTTACAAATGTCATGTTACCAGGAGATTACAATTTTATCAGTAAATAAGACCAAGCAAGTAATACTTCTGTGGCAGTCTAGCTGTCTAAGCCTCTCTCTGTTATTTTCTACTTCCTTAATCAGGTACATTAATTAAATATATGATGACCTTTGATGTTCAGATATGGACGGCAAGGTATGAAATGGCCCAGAGGAAAAAGATTATGTTTTTTCAAGCTTACTTTTGGTACTACAGGGAAAACTATAGTTGATGAGGCATAATTAGCACAATTATTTTGTGTGTCATTATAATTTTACATTAAACAAGAGGTAATCATCACCACAAAATGACCCACAGTAATTGAAAACAACATGACAGCCACCACCCACTTTTAACTCTTTTATTTGTTTTTACATTTTGGGAGGCTTCTTTCACTACAAAAGAACACTCAGATAATGGGAATGGTTTTATATCAGTTGGGTTGCTCATTAAGTTGAAGGCAGCACAGAGAAACACTTGTGCCTTTCCCTCCCTAGGGTCAAAACATGCATACACTCACTTCAGGATCCATAAACTAAATCAATCAGTCTTGCATATTTCTCCCTCAAGTGCTGACAAGCTGTAACAAGGTAATTCTTGGATCACTTTAAAGTTATTTGAAATACCAATCATAACCAAAACAGCAGAACAAGACCAGAAAAATGCAGCTAAGGCATCCGAAGTCCTCATTACAAATCCACCAGCCAAGGGACGGAAGCTGTCTGTCACACACTGAGGCAGCCAGGGAAGCTGGCACACACAGTAGCTTGGAGGCAGCATTACCACCTTTGTCTCACTTGACTCTTCCACAGTGTATTTTGGGTTTTTTTAAAGAGATAGTCCTTGCCCCGTGCTTTTGAGCGTTGGAGATATCCTGGATGAGGAACAGGAGTTTAGAAGGTGGAAGGAAGAAATGTCTGGCAACATAGGCCAGACAGCATCAGACAAACAGACTGTCTGTTAGATTGTGAGCTCTCTCTCACAGGGGAGAGCAGGTTTCTCTGACTGGTCAAAGTCCAGTTAGAGACAGTTAGTTTTCCCAATTAAATACTTAGTAGTTATCTAAAGACGCATGTATTCCCCCTTTTATGTATATCAATCCCAAATCCTAACCAATGCATCTTCCAAGTTTTTACATACCTTTCCCCTTTTTCCAGAACCTTCCTTATCTGCCTATAAAATCCTTCTATTTTGTAAAATAATGTTAGATCAGCTTTAGCACCCACAGCTGCTGTTTCTGTGTGATCTGACTCCTGAGCGCGGCTGATACCCCACTGGGCACAATGAGAGAAACTGCAGCTCAGCTGTGAACCCAGCTGGTCTGAGGTGACCCCGAAATCCCAAACCGTGGTATTTGAGTATTTTTTTCCACATAGTCAATGACTGACAAAAAACAGCCTGGAGGAACATAAATTGCAGAAAGGCTGTGGCTACCTGAGTGGGTAGGTACTTTGTCACATGAGGCAGGATACTACTCTGTCTGCAATGCCTCCAAGATGCCCCTGAAGGGACCAGAAGAAAATGTTGATGAGGTGCTTATTGCCCTTTCTTCACTGACGACTGAAGATGGAGAAGCCACCAAATGTTTGCCTGAAAGTCCCACAGTAGCAGATGCAATTATATTCTAACACAGAGGACCTGATTATAAACCATCACCCTGTAAGACAACTCCCTTTCCAAAGCAGTTCAGCCACATTAGTACACAACTGCACCTATGCTAAAAGCTTGCCTTGCAAATGACGTTATTAGTACAGCACATCAGCTCAATATTGCTGCACGGCATCCAGCCATGAGTGGCTTTCATCCTGCTAGCCCAGAATACAGATGGATCTGGAACAAAACACTCGTCTCTGCTTTAGCAAGGCTGGTCTTCACGGATTCTACTTTATCAGTTCCCACACGGGGAGTTTTTGAAGGGATCCCTTGCTGTTTTTTAGTCTAGGACAGAAGAAGCTCTTTGTAGGAGAAGAGAGGAAAAGTAGAACCATCAAGGAAAATGATCCTGCCACTCCAAAATTTTCAGAAGAAAATACTATTGATGAAAAAAAATATGGGATGATGGAAACAGAGAAATGAGGAGCGACAGCCTCTTCTTAGTAGCCTAAAAATAAGGAAAACCCTTCTCCACTCTACCGTTTGACTGAGCAGGCCATTGTCTCACTCTCTGAGTAGCCTATTTATCACTAGCATTCATAAAACTAAAAAAAGAGGCAAACAAAAATAAATTTTTTTCCCTATGTCAACCTCATTTAATTATTGAAGAGTAGTTTGAATTGTTGATCTCCTAATGCTTTGGCAGGATTGGCAGCCAGTCTAGTCCAGTCAGACTTGCCTGATTGTATGAGAAACAGAAAATAAAATTAGCATAGTCAAAGCCAGGGATAATCTTAGAAGTATTCACAATAATGAATAGAGTTTGGTGACAGGTCTCTTTAGCTGGGAGTGTCTTATACCCAGCTTTAGTACAATGTGTGTGGGCTAGTAAATATTCAGCAGAAGTTTAACAACGTATTTTAAAGAGATTTAAAGTCAGTTCAGTCATGTCTATATCATCACAATGACATGGTGTCTTTGCTTTTGCATATCTTATAAGACGCTTAATGTCAGCTTATATGGCAAGAAACCAGATGATCATATATACACAAGTCTGTGCATACTGAGATTTGTATGATGAAAATAGCTCATTTTGTCTCCTGGGAGCATAATAGCCAGTAGTCTAATTTCCAGACAATGCTGTAGTCAATACTACTATTGGACAAAAACTCACTGCTTTTTTTTTTGTTTGTTTTTAATCATAAAATTTGGCTCTATGCAAGAAGACAACTATAACATCTGGGGATCTCCACCAAGAGAAAAAATGGAACACACATTAACTAATTAGGTGCATACACACTCTTTTCTTTCCAAGGAATGCCAATGTTTTAATACAAGCTTTATATTGTCACTAAACTGGTAAGTCTCAGAGCCTTCTATATCCACTCTGGCCTGCTGTCTTGCTTTTCATATGCTTCATTTCTTTCTCTCCTCTGCTAGTTTGGGGAAAAAAAGTAAAATAAAGGGCATGTGCTTGTTCACAATTAACAAAAGTCACTGACTGCAGCAACAAATTTAATAATTTTCCTAGGGTGAGAAAGGATATGAAGAAGTGTTACAAAACCAGATTGACAAACTACTGTAAGGCATATTATCTGCCAAATCTGATCTTTTCATTCCCTATTAGCTCACAGTAAACACCTGTATTTGCCTCTTACCCTTACATCTTTTAGACTATGGTATATATAACTGTCTAATCAAGAAGTACAACTGCGTAAGCAGATGACTTTGCATCAATGGGTTTCTGAGCAGAGGACTGAAAAAACTCAAGTGTTCAAGCACTGTCAAATTTTTCTTTCACAGACAGGCAAAGCAGTCAACTGATCCCTTTTCACTTCTGACAATTTGTGAATAAGGAAGGCTTAGTCAATATCTACATTGCACTCACAGGTGGTATTTTGACCATTCTCGTATAAACTTGCACGTGTGCCAAGAGCAGTACAGCCAGGCAGCATGGAGTTCAGGCTCCCAGCTGGATCTGCCCTATATGCTGAAACCACAGAGCCACAGCTAAACATTGTTACTGATCCCTAAACTAGCAGGTTTACTGCCTGTTTGGATGTGTTTACATTAGCTGCGGTCACATTTCATTACCACGGAGATACAACCTTTGAGAGACGTGGCTGGGCAATGTTACGAATAGCTGACATTTATACATTAACAGGAAGGCACAAGTATTTGACAATAACTCTTTACAGTACTTGTATGCAGGGGGAACTACAGTCATTTCCTAGGTTGAATTATATGACCTCATTTCCTCATTTTTATTATGTAGTATTGACATTATTTGCATCAGATGAAATAAAGAAACGGCACTTCCCTGATGCCGTCCTTTACTGTTTCTTGCATTTTCTAGTCAAAGAAAACAGAACACTTGGTGAACATATGAAAAATCTTCATTAGCATGATAGATACCAGATTCCAAACGGAAAACTACCAGGGTGGGGTCTGTAAAACTAATAATGCATCTTTAATTTCAAAATGCGGAACTAATATCAGTGAAAATGAAAGTATCCTCTTACCTTAGGGTCCCATTTTCTCCATGTTAATGACAAACCTGTAACACCTAATCAAAAGACATTCCTGCTTTTCTTCATTTTTTACTAATGCACATACTACTGCAATTTGAAAGGACATTTCTTAAAGTATACTCTTTAGATATAGCTGATAAAATCAGACAATTGAAATGCAGAGACAGATTGGAATAAGCAAAGCATTCACCATAAAGAGCAAAAATTACCTTTAGCAGGGTTTACTTTTATCCCTGACCTATACAGCATCTCCTCATTCTGCCAGTCCCCATTCCTGACAACAGTCTTGAGTCCATAGAAAATAATTAATGCAGCAGTGGAACAAAAAACCAAGTTCTTCAAAAAGCGCTTTTGGGCTTTGACATAAAGGGCCCTGACACCTACTGTAACCAGCAGGCAGAAGCCCATACTAGGGACATACAGCACACGCTCTGCTATTACAAAGCCAACATAGAAAAATAGGTTTGTGGCAGGAACAAAGGGCACTATTAACAAAGAGAGAGACAGAATGACAATGTTCTCAGTTGAAGGAAGCTGCAGTTTCTTAATTTCATGCTTTTTTATGCCATTCTCTTCTTTTGATACAAAGCTTGACTTCACCTCCAGTGTCTTGTACTCCATTTCTGAGTGGCAGCTATGCCCATTAGCATTTTGCTTGCCGTTCATTACAGTTCTCCCGTTGCATTCTCTCTCATTGCTGGAGCCCTTCAGGCTAAAGTAGGCAAGGAGGAGGAGCCCAGCATAGAAGGCCACAGTGTGTAGATTCCTCCAGTCACTGACTGTTTTTAGAAGAGGCACAGCATCCATAGACCAGTCAAAGCTAAGAGTATCTGGGCACAGCAACAGCCAGAGGTTCTTGGTTGGCAAGTAAAAGAAGGTCAGCGTACGTGTGAGAAAACTGTCTGAGTCAGCTGCTGGATTGTCAGAGTTGGAAAAACTTGGGGGCTTGTTGCCCATCCAGTATAAGCGAACTCCCAGCAGTGCAGTGCCCCAGGAGGTCAACAAGCCAATGCTGAAGAACAGGCTCAAATTCTTTCTCTGAAAAAAAAAAAAAGCATAAATCAACACAACATACTCAGTTGTGTAAATTATACACAAAATGAATCAAGAAATCATCTGATACAACTTTTTTCAGTATTAGAAACAAGCACAATAGATCTCACTCCCTGACATTTGGATCACAAAATGCTGGGGTATGTTGTTGACCACAGACTAAAAGAACTGGCTCTTTCATTTAAGCTGTATCAGCCTTAAGCTGAGTCAAATCTTCAGACATTTGACGGCTGTCAATCCTTGCTTAAGATTTAGTTGTACAACCTTTTGAAAACTCTTTATTTTAGAGGAATTTATTAAATCTTACAATAGTTCCTACATAACCTCCAAAATCCTTTCCTTGTTCCTGGTTGTGACTAAAACACCAGATTGCCTTAACTAGCTTTAAAGTCTAAACAATGTTCCATTTCCATTTTCCCTAATGAAAGTCTCTCCTAAGGCATTTCACCAGAGAACTGATTAAAGTTTCCAAGAAGGTAAGAGAGGGAAACAGATGAGGACTCCATATTTAGGTCTCCTACCTCCTGCCTATTAACTACAGTGATTGTTTGGAGCCTTCATATCCACCTACTACTGAAAGTCCCACTTTATTTTGAATAAAACACAGAAAATTTAACTTCAACATGAGGAAGTTATTGAGGGTGGCAGAGCATTGGAAGAGGCTGCCCAGAAAGGTCATGGAGTCTCCCCCTCTAGAGACATTCAAAATCCACCTAGACATGTTCCTTTATAACCTGCTGTAGGGGACCCTGCCTTGGCAGGGGGGTTGAACTAGATGAACTCCACAGGTCCCGTTCAACCCTAACAATTCTGTGATCTCATAGCCAAACAATACATCATGTGTTTTTCTTCAAGTGCACTATATTAAATAAGTGCTTTAAAACTTTTCACATTTTCATACACATCTAAATAATATTATGTGAATCATGCAGATGAGAGCACCTATCCATGTCATCATGCTAGCAACTTGAACAATTTCCACTTATTTATGGAATAACTCCACATTTTCCAGCAGGATATGCTTCTTGGGTAAGTTCTGCTCTCAATTACATGGGCACCCTAAATGAAAGCTGGTTTACATTACTCTCTCTTTGCAGAAGAATCTCTAGAAGCTAAAATATGTGCATTTTTATATTTCAATTTCTCAGATGCCTTTTGTAAGAAAAAAGAACCTATTTACCAAATAGTTCTAGATACAGTGTAAGTGCTTTTATCATCTTTCCCCCATTATTAGAAGGAACTATTTGTCAATCATTTTTCATTTTACTAGAACTGTTTTTTCCATCTCATACTACACATTCCTGGCATTGTTATTCAATATCTACTTAGTTATTCAGAAGCAGAACCTCACACTGGAATGTTTTATCTTATTTCCTCAAAACAGCTCCCTTTTCTCCTTTGTGGGTGGGCTCAACCCTAAATATCACAAAATACAGAGGATTGTGCTGTTTCGTTTTAGGTCAATTATTAATAGTTTTCTACCATTAGTTTACTAATGTTCTATTAACAAGACGCTAAGTCTAGTCATGATCATTTATAAACTATCATGAAGAAATTTATTCCTTTTCAAGTTCTATAGAGTTTCTCCTTGTGAAGTTTAAAATACTAAATGGCAGATTAATTCATTCAGTTTTGATGCAATATGGAAGAATTTAATGGAGGCAGTAGTAGGGAACAAACAAATTTATAATGAGAACATTTAGGCACTTGATCAGACACATCTAAAAAACACTGGCACTTACTATATATACTTATACATGAAGTAAAGCCTGGGTCCACAGATTTTATTTGCCATATTAATTCTAGTGTGATGTATTAGCTTTTGTATATCTTTGTATCTTGAAAAATCCACATTTTTGGTAATATATCAATCAAAACCCTCATCTACACTTCACGATAACTACATTCCCTGGAAAGCTTATTAGAACTTTAATTTGTAATCTGGGTAATACTTTGCAACTCATTGCACATATGGTTTCAATCCATGCCTGCCAAAACTGCTTAAATGCTTTTAATGTTATAGAGCTGTGTAAACTGGTTATCACTGAAACTCCCAACTAAGTTTATATTTGGAATAAAAAGATTATTCAGATTTCATGGATTTGCATGTATGCCCTTAGTAAAACCTTATGTCCCTGGTTCAACTTGTCCTTTCATTCCTGTCATATTTTGCTACATGAAATTTTTTCTGCCCACCTTTCTGGCTCAATTATTTTCAAACTCATCTCCTTCAAACATGTATATAGACAATTCTCAAATGTTAAATGTGACTTTTTTTTCCTTTTATAAATTCTTATGGAGTCTCTTAGACAGAAGAGGCTGCTTGGACAGAAAGAAGCTCAGAAGTGAAAGATGATTTTTCTTTGTCTGAATTAGAAATTCAGAGCAAGTCTTTGCTGGAAGGCTATATACCACTCAAAAAATTAAGATAGCCCAAATACTAAGGAAATAAAATTTGATTAACAGATGAGAAGTGAGCTTTCATGGTCTGATTAGACTGTTTTCTTATTTTGTTAATACTTACTTATCAACTGGAAGAAAATCTCACTTTACTTAAGTCCTAACCATTGCAATTTTCAATTAAATGCTGAGAAAGTTCACATTATAAAGTTCTCTGACAAAACCATGCTAGGGCAGATATGTCATTCCTTGTGGATAATAGTGAAACCTTCTAAAAACTTTCAGATCTTCCTATAGGTCATAAAACAATAACAATGAAAAGTTTGCCTCTCACATCTATACCTAGAAATGCTAACAACCTGTACCTTTGAGCTAATCCATCCTTGTTGCTGGAGTAACTATTTGCAGCCTCCCTTTTAAACTTAGATTTAAGATCTCTAAGATCTGTATCCTCACATCCATGTTGGTTCTACAAAGACCACAAATTATCCATATACAGTTTTGTGTTTCATACTTTAACTAAACTCTTTTACTATTTTTAAACATTTTACATGATTGTTGAATGAAATATCTAAGCATTCACTCATGGAGCCTAGAGATATCTGAGTAGGTGGTTTTCCATACCAACATATCAATTTATCATGCTGTAAAGCACTAGTTAACTGGAGAAGGAGCTCTGATGGATTCTTTAGCTTACTTAACTGACTACACGAACCAAGTGCAAATATCCTGTTGTTACCTCAGCCACAAATGGTTGCATCCTTCCCCAGAAACTATTTCAGACATGGATCTTTTCAAAAGTCAGTAGCTTTACAACTTTTTTAAATTAACTACATGTTTACTTTAGTTAGCAACAACCAGTGTAACACTGACATGCCATTGTGAATTTTCAGATTTCAGAGGAGACTCAGTCTAGAGCCAAGATTAAAACAGTCCCTAACACTTAAAACTTCTTTCACAACAATTTAAAGTATAGCTTTTTTTTCTTTCTTTTTTTTTGTTATTTTTATTTTTAAATCACACAGCACTGGCCTAGAAGGGAAAAACAGACTCATTTCCCTTTTTTCCTCTCTCAATATTCATCACTTTTGCACAGCTTTTAGCCCTCTGTGCTAATGTAGTCAGAGATAATGAGAAAGGTTTAGCATACATTTTGGCTTTACTTTTTTCCAGGCTTTGGAAGAAAATCATTGAAGCAATTCGAAAAAAAAAATCATTCCAGCAATTTATTAAAATCAAATAATATAGCCAGTTTCCCAGTAGACTTTTGCCTGCAAAGAAAGTGCTTTCAAAATGAACTCTGCTCAGACCAGCACTTTCACTAGTAACTCTTGTCTGAGCCTCCTGACAGCCTGTGCTCCTCTGACCTGACTGTGTACATTTAGTGCAGTCCAGCAGCAGAAGAGATCCTCTGTAATGCTTGGCAGAAAGGATTTGGATTACTATGCTCATGAGTCCTAATCCAGCCCATCTGCCATATGTTTTGACACCCCCATAAATCCTCTAACCTTTCTTAAGTAGTCATTTTCATCTGGTGAAAAAATGAGCACTGATTTAGATCAGATTTAACATCTCTCTCCTGCCTGCTAACAGGCAAGTACCACCACTACAATTTTAGTCTTTGTGACTGTAGAAACCTTTTTCATTACCCTATCAAAATTCATCTGCATGACCCACCCACATTGCACGTTTCCCTTGCATTAAATCCTAATTCCTCACTTCATTATATGGCTCTTCAATAAGGCTCTGGAGTAGATTTCCTCACTGGGCAGCCCCTGCCAAAGCTCAGTCATCACCTAAGTGGTATCCAAAGCATTTTCAAAGGACACTGTTCTTTTAACCTCACTTTGTCCACTTCACGAAGCAGTATTAATACAGCATATGGTTAAGACAGTCCAGATATCAAAATCATCACACACAAAATGTTATTTTAAGAACTCAGGAGATGCAGAAATGAAAGTAGATAAGTCACCAGGTGCTACTCACAGGAGTTTCTTTTCCAGCTTAGGGCTCCTTAAAAACATACTAGCTTGAAAACTGGGACTTCCCATAGTAGTAAAATGTTGCCAGATCACAAGACTGACAGTATCTTGTGTCCATGGTAGGTAGAGGCTTCTGGACCACAGCTCAGCCAAGTTTGAGCAGAACTAGAACTCAAAACATACCCCCACCAGGAATGAAGCTATTTGCCACAACCCCTGCAGGGCCACAGTACTGAAATAGAAGTGGCCTTTAACTCTGCCTGAACACCAGCCTAATTTTCTCCTGCTCACATGACCCACTAAATGAGGTTCACTCATTTACACTGATGATACAATAGCTAGCCTGAAGGTCTGTTTTTCCTCTGAGCTGGAACTTTGTCTATAGCTTGTCCAATAGTGGGACCAACTGTACATATTTAATGACATTTACTTCTAGTGTTATGACCCCCCACAACTTTTCCTCAGCAAGGAAGTCAGTGCATTCATAAAACAGCTGAAGATTATGTGTACATGTTTTTATTGTAATTAGCCCATAGCACAAGCTTAACAGGACGGACCTCCCTGGGGTTACAGCCTCCTTGGGGCATCCACCTGCTCTGGTAT